CACGACCGGAAGCAGCGGAAGCGCTCGACTGTGGCATAATAGAAGCTCCGCTGCTTTCGTGCTCGTTCAGCGGCCTCATTTTGCTTCGACGGCTTTCAGCCTCACCCTGCTTCATTCTACTACGTTAATAAATCATTAGCTCATCCATGAACATGATTTCTGCCCGAGTCCCGTCGGATTGCGTCGGCTGTGGGTATGAAGACGTCAACACCCATGATTCCACACTCAGTCACGGCGTCATCTAACTAAGACGCCCTCCAGCTGCGAAAATTACATATTGTGCCTTTAACGTTTTGCCACAATTTTAGGTTTTATAAATCGAGGAATCACCATTTTGAATAGAAATATTACAAACGTTAGAATTAGACACTTTGACAATATGCCAGTGCTAACAGTAAAGAGAAAACAATGATGAAACCGAAGGACCGTAAGGTGCCATTCACACAGAACGTGCTTTTGTGTTGACACAGATGCAGTGGAATAGGAAAAAACGCAGGAAGATGGGAGTTGCACTTTTTAACTTGAGCGCAGTGTTTTTAGAAAGCCGTTTCATGCATGAAACACTGCAAGAGATGTGAGCGCAGCATCAAACGTGCCCATGTTTACATAGAAAAAACTGTGGAAAAGCAGCGCAATCCATTGCAAACCTGTAAAGAACTACTACTTTATGTCTGATATTTCATGCTTGCATCATGGTGACAGACTGAAAGCTGCTGTTCATTGTTTTTACAGAACATTTATAGTTAATAATAGTCTACTGGTGTCTTAAGTCATTTTGAGTTTGAATTACCTTGACTTTACAGATTTTATTTTAAAAAGCATTTTCCTTGTATTATTTCTGAACATATTATATATATATAAGATGTAGTTGCATCTTTTCTGCAAAGATATTTAACAAGTGATTTGTTTAACATTCCACACATCATGTGCGTTGCACTTGAAATATACATTTCTCTAACTAGAGGGTTGATAAAGAAAAAGTTACTTGAATCATATTTTGTAGTTACATTTTCAAGTGGACTAGTTAAAAATCGTAAGAATTAGATTTTATTTTTTTACCATATCGGCCCAGCCCTAGGTAAAAGGATATTACGATATCTAACAAAAAAGCACAAACTCCAGTGAAAGTTCAACATGTTTATGTGTCGAGGATAGAAAAGAAGAGAAACGTAGCTGGAGTAAAATCCGGTAATTTGCAATGTACAGCATAATTTATCTAACATTTTGGGTATTTTATCGTTATAGGATAAGACAGTACCTATGTTTCAATTCAAAGTTGCAAATTTAACTTGTACATGTAAAAAAAACAACAAAAAAAAAAATTTGGAATATCACATAAAACAAACTTTACGTAACTTTACGTAAAACTGAAATATCGCATAAAACAAAATGTAACTTTTCAGAAAATATGGAATATCGAACATTTGCAAATAAAGCACTGAGCTCAAGAGACCAAATTTGTCACTCCTGGGAAACTGGTTATTTTTAATATTTGCATAAAATACGTTGACGGAAACACGGCTAGTATAAAGTAGAATTAATTGCTGGTTACATTAACAAGCAACATTTGGAGAATTGTAACTAGGCTCCATGTAAAATGCACCAAAACCTGACAAGGGGCTGACAGTCTAATTTCCTCAAATCTGTCTTGAGTTTGTTCTCACGGTCAGTGCTGAGTGACGTCAGGACGTGCGTCTCAAAACAACCTAAGATTTGGGTTACAATTTCTTAAAATTGGTCATGTTTTTCCATGTAGCCCATAAACACACTGAAGTCTGAGGCTCGAGGCTATCTGAGATCATAAATGACTGACTGGTATAGTTTTCAGAGATGTATCATCTTAAAACAAACGAAACATCTCCGGCATGTCTGGGATTGTCAGGAAGCTCATTTCTCCGGCCTGAGGAGAAACGCTGCTGATTACAGAGCCACAGAGCCTGAGCTGACAGACGCCTGACGGATCTGATGCTCGATATTCCCTTCGGAGTGAAAAACTCTCGTATTTCACAGTTTAAGCTTCACCCTGGGCTGGTTATTAATTCCAGGAAGTCAGGCATTGAGATTTCACGCTGTACACATCTGTAAACAGCCAGTTAATATTCTTACTGACATATTTACACGCTTAATATCATTTAGTAAAGACGTTCAAGCATGTGACAGACACACAATCAGTGTATTAAACTGTTGTCAGTCGGTTTGGTGATTATTTCACTCAGATATTGACAACATAATGGGGGAATATTTATGTGAGGCACTAATTTAGAAGTGCTTTTGAATGCCTTTCAAATGTATAAGCGTAAAATTATGCTGAACTAAATTGTAAAATAAATGTTACAATAAATCAAATTATTTACATTAATTCATAATAATATTATAAAAAAAATAAAACCAATAAGTTCTGGGCTCAGTAGAAGTAGAGCAGTATCTGTAGCATGATGACCATTACCAAAGAAAATAATTTGGATGCATTTCTGAATAAAAAAAAAAAAGTAATATTTTTTTCAGTAATGCATTTATAACACAAATAAACAATGGAAATGTTTCAAAAGCAGAGTTTAAAAAGCAGAAATGTGCTAATCCAAATCAAACAATTCTGATGTATTTTCCTGAATTTTTTAAAGTAATTAAAATAAATGTTGCTCTGATTTTTGTTAAAGCATTTTATTAATTCTTCCTGAACAAGGTATGTTTTATTTGAGCCATAACCGTGTCTAAATCTGTCTTTTTGAGGTGGGAACCATTTTCTAGGTGGATGATCTTTTTTGATTTTCAGATTTTGTTCAGATCAGTTCTCCAGGTAAAATCATTTTAATGAAATAATCTTTCCATGTATCATGCCATAAAATGCTGGATATTGTTAGCAATCTGGTAACACTTCACAGTAAGGTCCCATTGTTTAACACTAGTTAATGCATCAATATCAAATAAAAATGAGCAATGCATTTGTTACGGTATCTTTGTTAATGTCAGTTAATAGAAATACATTTGTGCATTGTTAGTTTATGTTAGACAAATGCCATTAATATGAACTGATTCAACTTTTGATTTAAATGATGCATTAGTAATTAACTGAAGATTAATAAATGCTTTAGGAGTATTTTTATTGTTAGTTCATGCTAAGTAATGTAGTACTAACAAATGAAACCTCATTGTAAAGTGTTACTAGTGATTTAATCACATTAGTCTCATGTTAATGGAAAGTTTACGTATTATTTGTATACTTTAAATCAGTGCGTATTGTAATACTTCCCATTATAAGTGTCTAAAAATGAGATGCAGTAACTGACGCCATGTCACAGATGCTGTAAAGCTGAACTGAACCTGAAATATTTATTTTAAAGCATTTTATATAAATATTTTATAAAAGCATTTCATAAATATTTCTTTTAAAGCAGATGCTTAAATGGAAGCGTGTCGTTTCTGCACCACAAACAGCAACAAACCTAACCACAAAATGACTGTTTTCAAACAGGTTTACAAATGGTCTGCCTTTGCTCAGGCAAACATATGTCATAAGATCTGAGTTCAGTGTGTGCATGTGTAAGCGTGTACCGTAGATGACGGCCTGTCGGTCGATCTCCCGTGAGCTGAGTGACGCCAGAACGTGCGGCTCCACCGTCTCCTGCCAGTTCTGCGAGTCGATCACGTCCTCGTCCAGAGACGGCGCGTCCGGTAACAGAGCCGCCGGAGCGTCCAGCATCCTAGAGATGGACAGCAGAGAATGAGACGCACGAGCAGAGACAGAGCAGAGCAGCAGAGCCAGAGCGGATAAACCTCACCTGCGCTGAGAGCGAGGCGTGTATGGCGGCGTCGGGTTCTCCAGCGATCTGAAATAACAATACAAATAAAGTTAGAAACTCAAAACAAAAGAAAAATAAACTAAATTTAATGGATTTATTTATGGAAATGATCTATAATTTTTCTAGGGCTGCAACAACTAATAGATAAAAACCAATAATGAAAATAGTGGTCGACCGATATATCGGCCGATATTTAGAATTTTTTTAACGGAGATTTTCAACATTATTATTAAGAAAAAAAGTTTCTTGAGCACAAACTCAGCATATTAGAATGATTTTAAGGACCATGTCACACTGAAGAATGGAGTAATGGCTGCTTCAGCTTTGCTATAACAGGACTTAATTATATATAAAAAAAAATTTTTAAACCGAAAACAGTTCTTCACAATTTGAATAATATTCCACAATACTACAGTTTTTACATTATTTTTGATAAATAAATGTAGCCTTGGTGAGCATAAGAGACTATTTAAAAAACGGAGTGTCTATTTACACTAAGTGCAAATAGCCCGCCTTGTTGGCAGAGGTTATTTACAGCAGCTCCACCCACAAACGTGTAATAGGGATGGTCAACACTATAAAAGACGGCCGACAATCGTCAGCTTCAGTGGCGTAGATGGTAAAGCGCCTATCGTAGTCTTTTTGACGCCATCGACCCGGGTTCGAATTCGACTTTTACAGAAAGTTTTTTTTTTTCCCTTTTCAAATCTCATATCACATCGGAAAGGCATTTATTTTCAATAAAAATTAAGGAAATAATCAAAAAGTTTAAAAAGTATCGGTTAGGGTAGGTGTAGGGAGGGCTTTATTGTCCAAATAAGGTGGCATCCATTTAATAATTAAAATTAAAA